TAGAAGAGGAAGCAGGAACATGGGGGCATTACATTTTGAGGCATTTCCAGTTGAATGCATCAGAGAGAAACATGGTAGAAGAGATGACGGTGGTGGAACAGAGCTGAGGTTGATTAAGACCTCCACAGCCCACTGGAGAACCCATCTCTCTCTCTCTCTCTCTCTCTCTCTCTCTCTCTCTCTCTCTCTCTCTCTCTCTCTCTCTCTCTCTCTCTCTCTCTCTCTCTCTCTCTCATCAGCTCTTCTGCTCACTGCCCCCCCCCCCATCCACATCCCTCAACTCTAGAGCTCACTGCTCCCTCTCTCTACAACCTCAGTCATCACTGTTCACGTCTGTGAGCAAGATAACAGTCGTCACGCTCAAATGTTCACTTCAGGTTATTCACAGTGCTTATCCACTGTCTCTCAGACATCTAGGAGGTACTGTGTAAAGTGATCTATACACTACCTGCAAGAACGTACTCAAAAAATTACACACTACTTCACTGAAAACCTACACATAAGAAGTTTGATTTTATAATCGCTCTGAAGGTTTTCTACAACGTCTGGGATTTTATGATAGCCATTGTACAACTGCAGTATACCAGTATTGACAAGTAAAAGTCCACTGACGATTGAATAGCAACATAATACACCCCCCCAAAGGTCTCTAAACAGAGGAGGATAGAGAAACCAGGAGATTGGTTTCAGGAAGTGCAAACGCTGCAAGAAATATATTTATTTGGCAGAAAAGGAGAACAACCAGAACAAAAGATTTTAGGCAACTTGAACACAATGATAGCTTCAAACTAAATAGAAATGGATGGAGCGATGCCACTGTGACTGTCCTCATTTAACAAATCCCCTGGCAATGTGCTCTGAGAGCAACCTAGTCTTGCTCCTGCTGTTCGTTAGAGCTCTAGACAGGTCGTTGCGAGAGAGAGAGAGAGAGAGAGGAGAGAAGAGAGAGAGGAGAGAGAGAGGAGGAGGAGTATAGAGAGATATAGAAGAGAGGCGAAGAGATATAGAGATCGAGAGATACGCCTCTTACTATCTACGAGCGAGAGAGATTCTCGCTCCTCTCTCTCTCTCTCTCTCTACCTCTCTCTCTACGCTGCTCCGACTTATCTCTGCCTCTTGCTCATCTACTCATCTCTCTATCGCCTCCTCTCTCTCTGCTCTCTCGTCTCTCTCTTCGCTCTCTCCCTTCTCCCTTCTTCAAATCCCCTGGCCTTCTCTCAACCCTTCTTTCCCCCTTTCGTTAGATCAAAATTTCCGGGAAATTTTTGGAAGTAAAAAAAGCAATAGGAAAATTTGGGGGGGTAAAGGGGTAGGAAGAAATAGGTTGGGAAACCCCCCTTTTTTTTTTAACCGCAGGGAAACCCCGGGCCCCCCCCCGGCCCCCCAAAAAATTCCCCCCTTTTTCCCCCCCCTTTTTCCCTCCCCGGGCCCCCCCTTTTTTGCTTCCCCTTTCTTTCTCCTTCCCCCCTTTTTTCCCCCTTTTTTCTCCCCCCCTTTTTTTTTTCCCCCATTTATCTTTTTTCAATTTTGGAATTTTTTTGGGCCCCTTTTTTCTTTTTCCCTTTTTCCCCCTTACCCTTTTTCCCTTTGGTTTACGGGGCCCCCTGGAATTTACCCTTGCACCCCCCAAAAGTGGTTCCCTGTTTACTTCCTCTTTAAAAAATCCCCTCCTTTTCTGCCCAAATTTGGCCCCTCCTTTTCTTAGCTCTAAAACGTTCCCCTTTTTTGGGGTAAAAAGGGGAAGATGTAGAGGGGGGGGTGGGGGTAATCAAGCAGCTATAGAGGAGAAGCTCGCTACTGTAGGTCCTACGTGACCTTACTAGCCTGTGAGTGCTCCGCGTCCGCTATCCCTCTCGATCTAGTTCGTCTCTATTCTCTCTCCTCTCTGTCGCGCTCTCTCTCTCTCTCTCGCCGTCTCTACTCTCATACCTCTCTCTCTATTCTCTCTCTCTCGTCTCCTCTCTCTCATCCTACGCGACTGCGTTCTACTGTCCCTTTTTTTTCTTCATACGTATTGATCTGGGTGTGAGCACATTTAGGTAGATACAGGGCCTTCAGAAAGTCTTCACTCCCCTTGACTTTTTCCACATTTTGTTGTGTCACAAGGTGGGACTACAATGGATTTAATGTCACTTTTTGGTCAACGATCTACACAAAATACTAGAATGTCAGAGTGGAAGAACATTTGTAAAAACAAAATATACATACGTATTCAACCCAGAGTCAATACATGTTAGAATCACCTTTGGCAGCTATTACAGCTGTGAGTCTTTCTGAGTAAGTCTCTTTGAGCTTTGCACATCTGGATAGTACAATATTTGCCCATTATTCTTTAAAAAATTATTCAAGCTTTGTCAAGTTGGTTGATGATCATTGCTAGACAGCCATTTACAAGTCTTGCCATATCTTTTTAAGCTGATTGAAGTCAAAACTGTAACTAGGCCACTCAGGAACATTCAATGTCATGTTGTTAAGCAACTTCAGTGTATATATATAATTCTAAATAAATCACTGACAGTGTCACCAGCAAAGCACCCCCACACCATAACACCTCCTCCACCATGCTTCACGGTGGGAACCACACATGCAGAGATCATCCGTTCACCTACTCTGTCTCACAAAGACACAGCGGTTGGAACCAAAAATCTCAAATTTGGACTCCAAACCAAAGGACAGATTTCCACCGGTCTAATGTCCATTGCTTGTGTTTCTTGGCCCAAGCAAGTCTCTTGTTATTGGTGTCCTTTAGTAGTGGTTTCTTTGCAGCAATTCGACCATGAAGGCCTGATTCACTCTCCTCTGAACAGTTGATGTTGAGATGTGTCTGTTACTTGAACTCTGTGAAGCATTTATTTGGGCTGCAATTTCTGAGGCTGGTAACTCTAATGAACTTATCCTCTGTAGCAGAGGTAACGCTGGGTTTTCCTTTCCTGTGGCGGTCCTCATGAGAGCCAGTTTCATCATAGCGCTTTATGGTTTTTGCGACTGCACTTGAAGAAACGTTCAATGTTCTTGACATTTTTCGATTGACTGACCTTCATGTCTTAAAGTAATGATGGATTGTCGTTTCTCTTTGCTTACTTGAGCTGTTCTTGCCATAATATGGACTTGGTATTTTACCAAATAGGGCTATCTTCTGTATACCACCACTACCTTGTCACAACACAACTGATTAGCTCAAACGCATTAAGGAGGAAAGAAATTCCGCAAATTAACTTTTAAGAAGGCACACCTGTTAATTGAAATGCATTTCAGGTGACTACCTCATGAAGCTGGTTGAGAGAATGCCAAGAGTGTTCAAAGCTGTCATCAAGGCAAAGGGTGGCTACTTCGAAGGATCTAAAATTTGTTTAACACTTTCTTGGTTACGACATAATTCGATATGTGTTATTTCATAGTTTTGATGTGTTCACTATTATTCTACAATGTAGAAAATAGTAAAAATAAAGAAAAACCCTGGAATGAGTAGGTGTGTCCAAACTTTTGACTGGGGTACTGTATATATTATATTTCTAAATATATTTATAATTTTAATGACAATGTTTCATTGATAATCAGTGAGTTAATGGTAATTAGTTATTACTATGGTGATTGATTTCCTGGAAGGAGCAACCTGTAGTTGGCTGAAGGGATAGCAGGCAGTGCTATGGTGTGCATGCAGCACATAGTGATCCAATAGCTATCAGAGACTGACAACATGGGTCAATCACTCACTGTAGCATGGCACTGATAACAGAGCCAGACTGCTCCAGTAATGGCTCTCATCCACCACCCAGCCCTTCAATTACGGTTATCATGTCAGGTTGCTCTGTCCCAATTTAATCCGCTCTGCCTCCACTCCTACCTTCTCCCTCCGTTCCTCCCTCCATCCCACCCAGTCAGCCCTATCCACATGTAGTGGCAGTGAATATGGGATTTAGTAGAGCAGAATGATGTCCTGTGTGTTCAGTGATGGTGACAGGTCCAAGTAGAGTATGTGACAAGCTGTCAATAACCCTAACAACAAACTGTCAATAACCCTAACAACAAACTGTCAATAACCCTAACAACACACTGTATCGACAGATAGACTGCACGCTACCATTTTCTCTACAGCTCTTGTTACTCTTAAACAAGACCAATTTCAGGAATTGGGCTTATTACATTGCCATTGGCTGTTTCCCCCTATGTCCACTGAGTTGGAACAAAAGGTTTGAACACTAAGCATTACTTCCAGTGGGTGGAGCAGGGCTTCCAGAGAATCTGTTTATTGCAACAACGTGTCAAAACTGGCGTAAAGCCCCAATAGATGGGCCAAATAAATCTCAGAGCCATTAAGGAACAGCAAGCCAGGGCGCTCCCTAGTGATGCTAGCAACTCCCCTGGGAATCTCTCCAGCGTAACAGTATCCTCATCATTACCCCTCCTCCACTCCCTCCATCCTTTCCCCCAATGGTCACAGTGAAGGCCTACACTAGTTACCTCATGCTCCTCCGCTACCCGTAGTTCCACTCCTACTGCCGCATTGACATACTAGCTCCATACAATCTCCTCTCTCAGTGCTACCACTTCTACTTCTGTTCATGTGGCCCTATTGTTTTTTACAAAGATACTGTCTATGGTATAGTTCATTAAAACATCCTGTATTGTTTTCCTGAATATTTATTCTAGACAAGTTAATGTGATAACATGTGACCACATGTAAAGCAACGTGATAACATGAAACTACCAATGTGAAAACGTGAAGTGTTCAAAAAACAAATTTTCCACATGTGAAATCACATGGGTTATTTTCCTGCTGCATATGCAATCATACAGTTATGGCTAAAATAATAGGATTATCTTTCCAATCAGGGTTAGAAATCCAGCCAATCCCTGTCTCCAGTGCTGCATGAAATGTGAAATTACCTTACACGCACACACATTAACATTGTGCTTCCTTATTAATCCACTGAGCATCAGGTCTGTCAGTTTGAAGCCGCGTGAACATTTAGCATGAGCCATTAGCTCAGTACTCACCCTGTTAGCACCACCACAAAGTCCATTACATTCCAGCCATTCCGAAGATAGGAGCCTTTGTGAAACGCAAAGCCAAGGGCGATGATCTTAATGCCAGCTTCAAAACAAAATATTGCAATAAAATAGGGCTCTGTGTCGTCCTGTTAAGACAAGAGAGGGCAAGACTGTAAGTGACCATTGATATCCATCATCATTAGTTTGTGAACATGATTTTATAATTATGGGCTGAATGTGAGTTAAAAAGCTATTTGATGGCTTCATATCATGATAGAGTGAGTCATGTCAGACAGAGCCTTGGCCCATCTGGGGGAGTGGATCAATTAGAGGGTGCTGCTGTGAGCCACTTTGCCTGAAGGAGTGTCATTTCATTTTTAAAACAACCAGCGTGCCCCAAGCAGCTAAGTCTATTTGACTGGACAGAGGAGCTCACAGCATTTACCCTTTCAATGGCACGACTTAACAACAGAGTTCAATAGGGAGCCTAAAGTGGCTGTAAACAGGGAATCAAAGGCAGCTCTGTGTGATACTGGTGAGCTGACTGAGCACAACTGGTGAGAAACCCCAGCTGCCTTCATGGGTAACATGCACAATGTGTCATTCAACTCTGTAAGTAGATAGTATTCATGCATGTGAGAAGATAATGACTGACACCTACAGTGGGTTGCGAAAGTATTCACCCCCCTTGGCATCTTTCCTATTTTGTTACCTTACAACCTGTAATTAAAATGGATTTGGGGGGGGGGGGGGGGTTGTATCATTTGATTTACACAACATGCCTACCACTTTGAAGATGCAAAATATTTTTTATTGTAAAACAAACAAGAAATAAGACTAAAAAACACAAAACTTGAGCGTGCATAACTATTCACCCCCCAAAACTTTGTAGAGCCACCTTTTGCAGCAATTACAGCTACAAGTCTCTTGGGGTATGTCTCTATAAGCTTGGCACATCTAGCCACTGGGATTTTTGCCCATTCTTCAAGGCAAAACTGCTCCAGCTCCTTCAAGTTGGATGGGTTCCGCTGGTGTACAGCAATCTTTAAGTCATACCACAGATTCTCAATTGGATTGAGGTCTGGGTTTTGACTAGGCCATTCCAAGACATTTAAATATTTCCCCTTAAACCACTTGAGTGTTGCATTAGCAGTATGCTTAGGGTCATTGTCTTGCTGGAAGGTGAACCTCCGTCCCAGTCTCAAATCTCTGGAAGACTGAAACAGGTTTCCCTCAAGAATTTCCCTGTATTTAGCGCCATCCATCATTCCTTCAATTCTGACCAGTTTCCCAGTCCCTGCCAATGAAAAACATCCCCACAGCATGATGCTGCCACCACCATGCTTCACTGTGGGGATGGTGTTCTCTGGGTGATGAGAGGTGTGGGTTTGCGCCAGACATAGCATTTTCCTTGATGGACAAAAAGCTCAATTTTAGTCTCATCTGACCAGAGTACCTTCTTCCATATGTTTGGGGAGTCTCCCACATGGCTTTTGGCCACTCTTCAATGGCTTTTTTCTGGCCACTCTTCCGTAAAGCCCAGCTCTGTGGAGTGTACGACTTAAAGTGGTCCTATGGACAGATACTCCAATCTCCGCTGTGGAGCTTTGCAGCTCCTTCAGGGTTATCTTTGGTCACTTTGTTGCCTCTCTGATTAATGCCCTCCTTGCCTGGTCCGTGAGTTTTGGTGGGCGGCCCTCTCTTGGCAGGTTTGTTGTGGTGCCATATTCTTTCCATTTTTTAATAATGGATTTAATGGTGCTCTGTGGGATGTTCAAAGTTTCTGATATTTTTCATAACCCAACGCTGATCTGTACTTCTCCACAACTTTGTCCCTGACCTGTTTGGAGAGCTCCTTGGTCTTCATGGTGCCACTTGCGTGGTGGTGCCCCTTGCTTAGTGGTGTTGCAGGCTCTGGGGCCTTTCAGAACAGGTGTATATATACTGAGATCATGTGACACAGATTGCACACAGGTGGACTTGATTTAACTAATTATGTGACTTCTGAAGGTAATTGGTTGCACAAGATCTTATTTAGGGGCTTCATAGCAAAGGGGGTGAGTACATATGCATGCACCACTTTTCCGTTATTTATTTTTTAGAATTTTTTTAAACAAGTTATTTTTTTCATTTCACTTCACCAATTTGGACTATTTGTCCAATACATGAAATCCAAATAAAAATCAATTTAAATTACAGGTTGTAATGCAACAAAATAGGAAAAAAGCCAAGGGGGATGAATACTTTTGCAAGGCACTGTATCATTCACTTGGCGAGAGGAGTGTAGTTAAGCAATAATCAACCAAATATGATATCATATTGGTATGGTACATGTAACCCATGTGATGGTCGCTTACCAAGCGCTCTGACATGGGGGTCTTGTCACTGGCTGGTAGGTGCTGCTCCAAGGCAAGGACGATGCAGTTTGCTATAATGGTGGCCAGGATCAGGTATTCAAATGGAGTGAGACGGTTAAGAAAAACAGACTGTGTAATGTTAGACATACCAACCATCTGCAATACATTCGAAGAAGAAGCATCTCTGATATAAATATTCTGCAATTACCACATTCAAAAGCTGCTCAACAGAAGAGTACCATAAATTATACAAGAACTGAAGCATAATGACAATGAATGCAGTAAAAAGCTACCAAAACTTAATTGAGTTGGACTGGATCTCAGAATGCAACACTAAACATGTATAACTGAGAGAAACTGAGTGATTTGTCAGTTGCTCCTGTTCCTGTAATTGTATGGTTGTTTATGGAGGCTATATATCTCCTCAGGAGACATTGGTGCACAGAGGACTAGCACCTCACCTCAGCCAATGGGCTACAGTACATCAACAGCCAATGTGACATCATTCACTGGTCTAGGGCTGCTACAATGGCCCCATGACCCTAGAATCTAACTCAAGGGAGAAAGGAGAAATACTGCATTTGTGGTTTGGAAATGCACAGGTAAGTTAAAGGCTGAGAAGTGTTTACTCAGCACCAGAGTTAACCAAGCAGTTATGCAAGTAATGGATGCCATAAAACAAATGGATGCAAATTAATTGCAATACCTCAAAGGTTCGTTAACCAAATCTCATGAAATAGTGCTTCAGGGGTGACTGCTTCTCTAGGAGGCCTATGCATAGTTTTGACAAGCTGCAGATGATATTGGTATCCCTCATTTGGAAAATGATATAAAATATATAATATCAACAGGTGGACAACACTGCCACAGCATTTTATGGGACATAAAGGACAATATTAATCAATGTAGCCATGAAATCAATTGGTTTTGTAAACTAAACTACATACACAACTAATTTCCAAGCTTCTGTTTATCCCTATTTTGTTCCAATTCCTACCAATAATAGCCTACACCTGAGTAAGTGTCTAAACATGATCGTTCTATGTTTTACTGTGAGAGAAATCGACCAGAATTGAATTCTTATGGATCACTGCTTTGACAGGACACCCACGCAGAATAGCCTGTCTGTTTGTATTTAATAGACAGCCTTCCCGCTAGCTTCCCATTTACTGTTGAGCAGCATTTTGCGCGTGGGTAAGTTTAGCACCTTGGAGAGCGCTCGTGCTGAAACGTGTACACAGTAGCTACTGTAGGCAACGTGATATAAAACACCAAAAAATGTTTGGTTGCTAGGAGAGACTTGGTCCCAGAAACAAATGGAGCGATGCCGCAGTTATTTGATATGTAACAGTGGCATAGTCCCCTGGGCAGGCTATTACACCGGAATCAATTGCATTAGGCAAGTAGAACGTAAAATGCGTAGGCTAATCACCTATGATTTATGGTGCTTTACAAAAACCAATTAAGATATCCTGCTGACAATATTTTCACTACACTGCCGATCGGGTTGAGAAAGACAACTAAAAACCACACCTCTATCCTTCATGGTACAGCACTTGTACTGTAGACCTGCATTTGTGCTTTATATTTATACCTTGCAAATTGATGCCATAGATAAGGGACAACACCCTGACAGGTTCTTGGTAGGAAATGCAGCAGCTGTAGGCCTACCAGAGAGAGAGAATTATTCCAAAAGCTGGAGAAAACCGGACTATTGCCAAAAACTGAGCAGTATCACCAATTACCCCATTGTAGTGGGTCCTCTCATCCGGGAGTGGTTATAGGCTGAGAGGGGTTATATTATACTGTATTACAAAGTCAACCGCTGGTTGTCTTCCATGCCATATCATAGCCTACAGCAAATTAACTTATGAAAACCATGCCCTATAGTCTAGAACCTTGCACAATCACGTCAAGACATTAAATCCCACTGATAAGCTTATAATCAAATAATGTACTGGTACGAGAAATAGGTTGTTTTAAGCAACAAAGGATATGGCCATTCGGTAATCTTTTTGGCATATTTCCGTATGATACAGTCCTCACTAAAGATGAATAGAGACCGGTTGACAGTAAGACAGCTCTGCTTGACAGGGATGGGGTTGTAAATGGCCATTGTCCTGGCTCTTTGGGCCATTGATTGTTTGTACACCCTGGGGCCGCTTGGGGGGCCTGCCGGCCTACCTGCCCCTCTTGAGACCCCTCCACGCCGGTTAGATAGTTCCTCTTCGAAGCGAGCCATTCTAGAATCGCACAAATCTTACTCAAAAAATCTAAACTGACACTAGATAAAAGATAGAGAAGAAGCATCACAACACACACAGTTGTTCCAGCCACGAGATCCTTTCGGTGTGTGTAATGTTCAATAGAATATTCAACAAACATTCAAAAATAAAAGGAAGTATTTTCTTCAGAGATTCTGTTAGGTTGTCTCCGCCTTGTTACTTCCCATACTTTCAATTGTCCAGATGTCCAAATGATATGAAACATGAAGGAGAAAGTTTATATTTCCATGTCACATATTCGTCCATTGGTGTTCTTCTGGCTGAATGGCCACACATATATATATATATATATATATATATATATAGCCTATATCCTCTTTCACTGGGCTATAAGCTTTAAAAACAGCCAGTTTAACACGTCGAGCAATAACAATTCGCCTCATTCGCATAACGCATGACATAAGGCGGGCTATGACTGCATAGTTGACTTAAAATACGGTCCAAATAAAATAGATGCATTTATCTGTTGTTTCCGCCTCGATTGGTTTGTCATTGCGCGTTCAAGTTTCAATTTTTTTATTACAGCCTACGTTCCTTATCAAAACGAGGTACCTCATATAATCCGTTCCATTAATCTCCCTATTAATTCGTGCACGGTGTAACGACAAAATGACGGGGTTGGCACCTCTGCTTCCGCTAAATCACACGCTGGCAATGTATACTGTAACCACTTTCTCCAGCCACTGCTCCTTATGAATCTGCACACGTGACTAAAAAGACGCCAGGCACTGGCTCCACCTGTACGGTCTCTGTATCATAGCACCAGGGAGAAGGAGGGAAGCAGCTCCCCTCTCTCTCTGTACAGAATAATCAAGGAGGTTGCTTGAGAAATCGCGTCAAACAATGCACCATTTTGAAATTATGAAGCCCCCCCCCCCCCCCCCCCCTCCCCTTCCCCTATCTGGCATTAGTGCGTAAACGATTAGTTACCGGAGTGTAACTCCAGTTCTATGAGTGGAGCGGAGCCCCATAGGGGAGCTCTGCACCTATTGGTTTACCCACTGCCCTAAGGCAGCATCAGCCTGAGACAAAATTATGCACACACCTGCAGCCAATAGGAGTACAGGTGTCCCTATAAGAGGGGATGCCTCCCCTCAATCAGCCTCGCGAGATATTTATCTTCAGCGAGACTAGAGAGGGTCGGCAGGGCCTTAAGTCCTATGGGGCTCCGCTCCACTCATAGAACTGGAGTTACACTCCGGTAACTAATCGTTCTATATCGTGGAGCTCCGCCCCATAGGGGAGCTCTGCTCCTATTGGTTTAAGGCGGAGCGTAGCGCTCCAAAATGTACTCCCTGCCGAGCCCAACACTTCCCATCAAAATGAAAAGGTCAGGCCTAGCAATGGCTGCAACCAATTCCCGCAGTACTGTAACCACTGTCACCCTACAAGTGTCACAATATACTGCGTCATCGGTTAAAAACCTGCCCCACCTAGTCCAATGGCAACACCAATGACTAGTGGGCAGATCACCAGAATACAGGCCATACTAATCTGTACTAGCAGATAGATGGTACCTCAATATCCTGTTACAATACTACCGACCACTAATGGAATGACACAAAGTGTCACTCTACATTGTGTATACGGTAGACCGCCTCACTCAATCAATGGAACCCCAGAGATTAGTGGGAAGATCCCAGAACATGATTCATACTAATCTGAACAAGCAGATAGATGACGTCACATTCCGTCAAATTGTCATGACCGGTCTAATAGTATCGTAACCCAGGTTACTACTATTATCCCTCATCATCCCGCCTCACTCCAGTGAATCACTGGTGGGCAGATCAATACATGCCCTCTACTGTACTGAACCTGTCAGTCAGGAGTCATGCCAAAAATATGCCCTTCTATCAGAAGCGGACCTGATAGAGACCCTGTCTCCACAGTCCTGCATTCCTCTCCTCCTAGCTCAAAGTCTCCCTTCAGCCACGCTGAGTACAGACTGAGCCAAAGAGTTAGAAGACACATCCAAGAGATAGAAACTGATAAATGGAGACGGTGTTGACCATGACGCCGCTCTACATATATCCTCTACCCCTGTTCCTCTGAAAAGGGCAGTAGAAGCTGCTACTCCACGAGTGGAGTGAGCTCTGATACCCTGAGGCAATTGTCGCCCCGCTGCCTCATAAGCTGTCTCAATGCCCTCACAGAGCCAATGAGACAGACGCTGTTTCGAAAGTGGTCTACCTAGTGCAGCAGCACCATGACACACAAACAGCTGAGGCGATGACCTAATCGCTGCTGTGCGCTCAACGTAACACGCCAAGGCGCGTACTGGGCACAGGCGATGGAGCATTTCCTCACTCCTCTCTCTATGAGGAGGAGGAGAAAAAGCCCATAGCTCCACGGTCTGTGATCTATATGAACTCCTAATAACCTTCTGCACAAATGCCGGGTTAGGACGTAACACTGCTCTGCTCAGATCGCCATTAATGGCCAGGCAGTCAGGTCTCGTCGAAAGAGCACACAAATCACTAACACGCTTAGCCGTAGTCAAAGCGAGCAACAGTGCTGTCTTCAAAGACAGCATCTTGAGGGGTATTTGATTCAATGGCTCGAACGGCGACTTACATAGCGCTTCGAGTACCAAAGCCAATCCCACTGAGAAAGAGTGGCTCTAGGTGTTGGCCTAAGCCGCCGCGTTCCTAATAGGAAACGTTTCACTAGAGGGTGGCTAAAGACATTGTCTCTGCCAAACCCCTCCTGACAAGCTGAAATCGCCGCTGCAAACACCTTAATGGTGGCGGGCGATCTCTGCTCGTCAAACATAAGCTGTAGGAAAGAGAGAATACTCTCAACCTGACAGCTCATGGGGTCTACACCTTGTGTGAAAACACGTTCCATCTACTGGCATACATCTTAGAA